GAAACGTGGACTTGGTAGAACTAGATAATTCCTAGGGTTTTTGTGTTATAATTTAGCATCGTTTGATATAATGAACAAGAATACCATCCCACATTCCTTTTCATAGTCAAAGCATATTTGGAACTCCACTTTCACAATACTTATCTAGTTTCAGAACTATGTACACCATTACTCACGATCAAGTATAATTTGAATATGAACTTTGTTCGTAATTTGCCAAACTTTTTAACAATATCTAATTAATTTTTTATTTATTGATTGTTTCATTCAGTTTGTTTAGTATTAAAGCAGCTTAATGTGCTTAAGCTATTATAAATTTTCAATATGAAAGAAAATTACAAATATTTAAATAAATAAAAAGTTAAAGTGCTACTTAAAATTAATAGACTTTGTAATATTGTCCTCCAAAATTAATTATATTCATCTGCTTATAATCACATATAAGCAGAATCCATAAAGGAACGTGTTTTATCTATACTTACCCAAAACTACAATAATTGAGATTTATAATCTCTATATTTCTCTGGTAAATGAAAAGATGGGCAACTAATTATTCGGATTTATTTAATCCCCTGCAACCAATCGCTTTTAGGTAGGTTTCCCTAGGTAGATGAAGCCATAGTTTATATTAATTGACTTATAACCATGTACCAACAAAACCCTTCAAACTAAAAAAAGATTCATCAATGTAATCATAATAATTGATGGAAATAATGATTATTTAAAAATTTTGAAAAATGTAATGATGGAAAATGGCACTACATACTCAACTTTAAGTATATATCATAATAGTTTCACATATTAAAATTTCAAGGAAATCAGAGATGATGATATCTACCACTCTGTCTATTTGGAGATGAATTGTATCATAAAAATAAATTTTAATTTACCTTTACTTTGTCCGGATACCAAAGAACTATTTTCAAAATAATCAACGCTTGTGTATCTTCGAACAGCTTTCTTAATAAATCTTGCAAAATCATCTTTACGATTACTGTCTACAATTAATAAACCTGATGAATGTTGTGGAATACGACTATCCATATAAATTCCAGGTTGTCTTAAAATCAACCTGGAGTCGGAATCGGAACAATCGCTGTCCAAACTGGGTGAATAAACGTAAAATTTTCTGGCCGAGTCTCTTGGGCTGATTGGAGATTTTGAGTAATGGGGGGAACTACGGAACTGTCCATGACGAGAATTTGGGGAAAGAATAGGAGATCGTAAACCTGGGGATCGAGGACTAAGAAATAACCCGTTATTCAAATCTGTTGATTTAAAAAATCGGCGTTCTCGACGTAATGAGTTGAACGGTACAATATTTTCAGAGTTATCTTCAGAAAATTCGTATTTTTTATCGGCTAATCGCTTCTTTCGAAACGAACTTAACTTTTCACACTTTTCATTTTCCTCGGTAAACTCGTACGCTTTTTCCGCAACTTTTTTATCAATAACTTTAGGTTTTTCATTTTTTATATTCGAACTTTGAAATCGTTTTACGCGCACATCAACTATATTATTTTGCACCAACGTGTTATGATAACTCTTACCTGTCACATTTAACGGTTCACAACTAATGTTTAATTCATGAAAAGGTCGATTACATTCAGAACTTTCTATATCATACTCATTGAAATCTTCTAATATAGCATCAATCGTACTGTTTGTACTAAAATTATCTATACTAATTTCGGAAGCTTCACTTGCATTATCAGCGAATGTATTCGTGGGGTTTTTATCGCATTCTTTTTCCAATACGGGCGGAATAAAATTAGGTTTTGGTGGTTCGGCACATTGCACATTTAATATGTGAATGTTCGCACCTGTATTTATCACAAAATGGTCTGGATACGCGAGGGAAATGTGTGGGTCAAACGGAGAATGTCCTTGAGTATAGGATTGGTTTAATGAGAAGGAGTAATGCATCATAAAACCATGGCGAAGACACCATCCTTGTTCAAATTTATCTAAAAAGAAAGTTATTTTTTATCCAAATACACTCAGTGGCATAAAAAACGCATTACCTAAAATGAACTCAAACTGCTATAACTTTTGAAGGTATTGCTCGATTTGAATAAGGTTTTTTTTATTTGAAAGGTCTACCCTTTGCCAATATTTCTTTGCCATTTTGGCACTCTTTCATTTCGGCAATGGTGAATAACGATAATGACAAAAGAAATTAATTTTACTACTAGTCTCGTCTGTTCACTTCTGATCACTTCTGTTTTTTGTTCAAGTTAATGCAGCTTCTTCGGAAGCGCCATCAGAAATTAAAGCAAGCCATGAAAATTGACGAAAACATTTCAGTGACGTTTAGTGTCGTTAACGTCGTTGACTGTTGCTAAACAAGAAAAATGCTTTTAAGTCTTGCAGAAATTGCGCAAGCAGTGGCTTTGGTGGAAAATGGGCACTCGTTATGCTGCTCGTGTTCTTGGCGCGATATAGGGTACGGTTTGACGCGCCATTCAAAGATATCGCCAGTCTGCCACCTTCATCAGACGACATAGATTAGGAAGAAGACGCACCACAACCTAGTGATGATCGATATATTGTAACGACCGTGTTACGAAATCGACATACCACAATAGTTGAGATAAGAAATCATCTGGAGCAAGTACGTCGGGGGAACGTGATTGCACATACAGCAAGTAGGAGATTTGAACGAGATCATGTTCAGTGGACCAATGCGGAGTGGAGAAACGTACTGTTCTCAGACGAGTTTGAGATTCGGCTTGTACTCTCCACATGGTCGCGAGAGAGTTTCCAATACCTGGATGATTTGGATATCAGCAGAATGGAATGACCTACACGTAGCCATAATTTAAACCCCATAGTACACATATGGGATATGCTAGGAAGACGAGTTAGAGGACGTGGTGCCGCTATACAAACGCTAGATGATCTCAGAATAGCGCTAGTAGAAGAGTAGAACCAGAATTCAAAAATTAAATTCAAAACCTGATTCGAAGTATGCCTCGAAGGATGAGGGATCAATCTCGGTTTCCATTGCCGTTTGAAGAACAACATTGAAAATTTTTTCTAAGATTTGTTGTTTTGCATCGTTCTCCTTTTCTTTTTTCAACTCTTGGTAGCAATTTATAACTGAGTTAATATCACATGCGTAATTGCACTGGATAAATCTTTTAAAGTTAAATGTCGGATTGTTAAATTCTCAACTGTTTCGTCCTCTTCCACCATTTCGTTCTCAGCTAATTCAATTATCTCATCGTTCGAAAGTGGTTGACGATCAGCATCCAACAAATTGACGATATCATCTTCATCTAAGTCCTGAAAACCAACTTCTTTTGCCAAACTTAATGTTTTGTCTGGTTTCTGGAAGAATGAGTTCAGAACTACTGTTGCTAGTTGCAGGAGTAACACAATCTGGTAACATTTTTTTCTAAGCTCGATTTGCCAATATTGTCCACAGTATCTTTAATATTAATTTTTTTCCAAAATTCGTAAATTAACGATTAGCCTTTAGTTTCTTTTATAAGTTTTCGAAAAGTTTTACGCAAATAATGGATTTTGAATGTTGCTATTACTCCTTGATCCGTTGGCTGAATCAGGGCTGTGTATTTTAACCCTTTCGTTACTAAGAGCGTACGCATACGTTTTTGTATATATGGGCTTGCTAAATGATCTTGAAAATACTCCGTAACGAAAGGGTTAAGCAGATATTCAATTTTCACATCTTCAGCTAGTTGTGATAAATTAATGCGATGTCCAAATTAGATTTCCGCAGGTATTATTTTTCGTCACAACAAAAGTGATTATTGAACCAATCCTGGAATAGGAATTTTGTCATCCAAGCTTTTTTATTAGACTTCCAAATAACGGGGGAATAAATATGAGTAGATTACTCATATTTATTCCTTTTTAAAGCCCTTGGATTTTTGGACTTATATATTAAAAATGGTTTCAGTTTAAAATCTCCAGCTGCATTTGCACCAAGTAGCAACGTCAATCGGTCGTTAGATGCTTTAAATCCTTATGCAGCTTTTTCGTTCTTAGAAAGAGAAGTTCTATCAGGCATCCTCTTCCAATATAGGGCTGTTTCCCTCTTTCAATAATTACCATCAACGCGTTTGGTTACGCCAGGGCTGCATCGGTATCTGCGCTAGCTGCTTCACATTTTATCTTAACGTAGTGCAAGTAATGCCGCTTTTTGAATTTTTTTTTTTAATTTTTGATGTCTTATATTTTTTGGAAGAAAGTATCCAGCGTTCATTGCTTTTACTTTTGGTTTCTTTCATTGAGAATATATGGTCGAATGGATGCGATAATGCCTCTTTTTACATTAGCACATTTGAGTTCATCACTCAAAGTTTTCATAGTTGAAAGGATACTCTTTAGATCGGCCGTTTTAATCACTTTTGGAATTTCGGAATTTTTTTGGTTCTTCGTTATCTTCATCCTCTAACTGTTCACGATACAATTCTTTGTATAATTCTTCTAGGTCTTCATTTGAGAGTGGTTGATCTTAGACCTCTAAATGTTCTGTGACATCTTGAGCAGTAACAATTTTCACTCCCAAATCACCTGCAATCATGATAACACAAGATGTTATGGTACTTCTTCAAAATCGTGCATTAATGTTGGCAGAAGTTGACGCTAAACTACATATAAACACTTCATCCCAAGACGACTTTACATTATTAATGCATTTTAAAATACCGAAAGACCGCCAATAGTTTTTTGACTGTTTTATCTGAAGTGTTCAAAACTCTCACTATTTCCAAGTAAGTATTGCGGAGATGGTATGCCTTAAAGGTTTCAATAACCCCCTGATCAAACAACTGTGACAGCCAATGGTGTTATATTTTCGACCAAGTTTTGAGGATATCCTTTAGCATTGTCCAATAGAAGTGCCTTGGGTGTTAATTTATTTTTGCAAAAATAATTTGTATACCAATATGTCAAAATAGCAACAGCTTGTGTTCCATTTCCAGTAAACTATCATGTATCATGTCTTTATTGTGACCCTTTAAAGCACGTGGTGCCTCTTAATGGTACACTAACATCGGTTTAAGTTTCAAAGTTCCTGAAACATTCGCTCCCAGCAAGAGTTATTTTATCTTTCGCAACTTTAAAACCTGGAGCAGCTCTTCACCAGAAAAAAAAGTTATTGGTGGTAATTCTAATAATCTTCTAATAAAGACCTATCTCATCAACGTTGAAGATTAACTTTAGAGAATAATTGCCTTCTGCACTTCACCCTATAATTTCACACTATGACAGTTCGGGATTTAAACCTCATAAACCAACCCTTGCTTCCCAAAAATGTTTCCTCACCTCCATCTGTTTCCTTAAGATTATTAAAAATTGATTTTGTTTTTTCTGTTGTAGCAGCTTGAGTAAATGGAATATTTGTTTGAACCCATAACATAAATTTTACCTCTCCTATAACTTACATGTTTAACATTTAGTGCTGTAGACTGTTGAGCAGAGTGTTTAATTTTATCTATATTTTTCATAATTGTAGTAACACTCGATGGAGGCAAGTTTTAAGTACTACAGACATTAAGGCGTGTTTGTCCAGCATAGGGGAAAAGACCAATCGAGACATCGGGGATTCACACAGCAAATTGCGTAGCGGCGTAATTGTGAAACAGCGTAAATTTAGTCAGCGTAAACCGAGGGCTACCTGTATATTCATTTGACGCATTACCATTTTTCGTTAATTGTTGTCTTCAATCCACATCATCAATAACTGTTCCAGTTTATCACTTATATGTTAATTTAGACACACTTGAGCAGCAGAATGTGAACGTAGTTTATTTTTTTCTTTATCCTTTCGAATTGTTGGAACTATAGATTTGGGAAGTCTAAAAGCGTTACAAATATCGATAGTATATGAAGTACTTCAAGTTTTGTTTGTAAGGAGATAGCTTTTTGGTTTCTTTTTTTTATTCCACTGGTACTCATGTTCTCTACAAAATGGATTCACACCAATTTAGTGCATAACAATATTTTTATAAAAATTTAATAAAAAGGTTTATTCGAATAAAGCCCAAGACTTACATCAAAGATCAATTAATCAAGAAGCAGTACTTACCTACAAGTTATAACATAAATATACACTTAATAACCAAAAACAAAGATTCAAATAAACAATTCCACCTACTTTAAAGTTACTATAGGATTGTACTTTATTGTCCAAGAGGCAACTGAAACGCACCTACGTGTGACTGCTACGAGTTCTGACGATTCACGCGAAATAGGGGATTTACCAAAGTTTGCCCGTAAATCGAAACCTTCGCATAAATTAAAAACGCCGTTATAGCAAATAACTGTATAAAGAAGAGCTGTATATAGAGGTATGAGTGTATTCACAATTGTCGAAATTGAAGAGCGCCAAAATGGTGAAGGCAAAGGGTAGACCTTTCAAATAAAAAAAAAACCTTATTCAAATCAAGCAATACATTCAAAAGTTATTGCAGTTTGAAACTGGTTATCATTTTAGGTGATGCCTTTTTTATGCCACTGAGTATATAAATAGTTACAGTAAAACTGTACTTGGTTTTCAACTTACTATTTAATTTACAATATTTGCAATTATCTGGACTAGGTAATGTTAAAATTGTTAAAAAAGCCATTGTTGTATCAATCCTAAAAAATATAATAACCTATAATTCGAATTTTCTTTAACTAAGAATCATCTTTTTTGTTGTTAATATTACATACATACTATAAGATCCAGATCCATAACAAATTAATCGAAATGGATCAGTTGGGAACTGCATAAATACGATTTCTCTGAGTACACATTGTCCTTGTAACAATTTAAAAATAGGGTATTTTGCAACCAGTCTTAACCTTTTCCCAGGTACAAACCTCCATATATATAATTCGTATTCAGGATCGGGAAGAAGAATTAATCTACCCTCTACGTATTTCTCCATAAAACTAACAACATACTGACCGCATAATGTAAATCCCATAAAAATATGATTTCTACAAAAAAAAAATCAAACAACTTAAAATTATTGTAATAAAATAAAAAAACTTACAAAGCTTCGGGCTCTATGAGCTTACTAAGTTGGAATTTACATTGAGAATGGATCTCTGATACTAATTTTTCCGTTTTCGCTCTAGGATTTCTAGTAACACGACCGTAAATCTACACAAAATCATCACAACAATTTCAATTTAAATAATTTGTTTACGTTTACGAAAGTTTAAATCGCCACTTTTGAGGTTAGAACCGAACTTACCTGCCTCAAGTTCAACTTATGAATCAGATTGAGATTTTTTTGCGCGCCGGTTGTGTGAACATTGAAATCTCTTTCGCTGTCTTGCAAATCCAGACTATCGAAGGAACTTTGTATTCCATCCTGGGATAAATTTGAATCAGAAGTATCGTCCTCGTAAAGAGATGACGCCGCCATGTTGTTTTTAGATTGTTTGGTCCATTTCACATCAACAACTTTTTTTCAATAACTTTTTAATTTCGTTTAAATCTTATTTAATATCTCATTTTCTTGTTATTATTAATTAATAAAATACCAATGTTTTTGTGTTATTATCGCGATTTTAATTTCAATTTATAAATAATCCTTTTTGAAATTCCCACTACCTGTTTTACCGACATATTTTTTTGACATTATAAAATAATTAACCTCTCAATTTAATTAATTAAAAGAAATACGAATAAAATGAAATGTTTTATTATACAAAAAATACAATATTAATAATACGCTTCTTAATTCTAATTAAATACTTAAGTACCTAGATTAAGACTTATCAGGGGGGAATGACTAGATAGGATGCTCAAACTGTTTTCCGTATCAGTCAAAAAAACCAAAACTCTTGTCTTTAAAAAAAAATCAAGCGCACATCTTCGATCCGGACCAAACACTCAAAATTCTTTCTTCAAAAAAGTTGTTAATTTAATCAAATTCTCATTTCTGCTTCCAACAGAGGGAGAGGGATTCTTTTTGTATACAATTTTCTTAATTAAGCGAGTTCAAGAAGTAACTGAAACCGTTAAAGGTTTCGACATGGCTCCATTGTTCTTATTTTCCAAGCATTGAACATTTTCGATAATCTATAACATAAAAAAGCAATTAAAATAATCGTTTTATTACAAATTAGTTAATTAATCTTACATTTATTAAGTGATCAAATCCATATAATAATCCTTCTTCGCGATTTCCAAGTTTCCACGGTGTTCTATGATCAACCGTTTTCCCTTCATCCAATTTATTCGTTTTCGCAAAATCAATTAACCAAGCCCCGATTTTATGATCATCATAAATCATAAATAAACTACTACCAATAACTTCGTGACGTTTAAAATAATCTGATTGTTCAATTTTCATTCGAATCTCTCTCAATCGATCTAAAAGTCGTCGTTTCACTTCACTTTTGCCACCAAGAAACGTATCCATCGTCCTTGCAATATCTTCGGGTGATTTAATAGTCTTTAAATTAGTTACTGGGGGTGATCCGCGACATTTCATCGCGTCAATACGAAATCCGTGACTTCTCGTTGACGATTGATTCTCACGAAATTGCATGTAACGTAATTTCGTAACTGCTTTTAATTGGTGTTCTTCTTTGGATGGACCATTTGGGTCAATTGCTATCATTTTTTTATATAAATCGTTGCGAGCGTTGGTTTTTTCAACTTCACATTCTAAGAATGTTCTTGTACCCATTTTTATGTCGATTACATAAGGGTCCTGGAAAGAAAATGTATTAGTATGATAATTATAACAATTTTATGTTGTATTTCTTACTTGAAATCCGCTTAATAAATCTTGCAACTCAATAAATCTCTCTCCTTTATATTCAACTTCGCGGAAATATCTTGGTGCTATATCCCTCAGGCTCGGATCTTTGCTTAATTCTTCATAAACGTATCTTTCTGTGTCACTCGGATCTCCGCTGCGTTTTTTCCAAACAGTTCCAGGTCCCGCTGGGGCTAAACTATCCGGATGACCGCTTAGTTGGAACCAACTGCTATTTCTCGATTTTAATAAGACATCACTGGCGGGTGCGCTTAAATCTAAGGCGTTCTAAAAAAAAGAGAAAAATTTGAATAGTACAAAAAGAAATATTCAGGAAGTTCTTTTTGTTTTCATTGTATTTTGTACGTGATTAAAAGGTTTTTGCGGAAGTTTCGATTAAGGTAGAAGATAAAAAAAATTAGTAAGGTCAATCGTTTGTGCGACCAGAATAAAATCTTTTCGAACGTGGTAGAAAAAATGTGAAACGACCGATTGAAAACGGTACGAAACGGGACGCACGTCAATTTCGACGAGAAAGTTGCAGTTGTACCTACGTCAATCGGTCAATAATAAATACGCTCTGGTAACCTTTCGACCGAATTTATGTCGTAAAAAGTTGGAAAAAAGATGATAACAAAAAAAAATTGTAAAAAAAATATAAAAGAAGTAATAAAAGGAATTAAAAAAATAATAAAAAAGAAATTGAAAGGAGTAGTAAAAAAAATTCTAAAGAAGTAGTAAAATAAAATTGTAGTATTATATAACAACGTTTATGAAAACACACTATAAACCTATTGTTAGAAAGCTATTTATTCAAAAACTGTTAAAAACTTAAAAAATGTCGTAATATTATAGGCACGTACGGGTGATAGAGTTTAATTGTTTATGAGTAGTGTTACAAATACCTTTTGTATCTTTTGAATTATTTTAAACGTTATTTTTAGTGTTTTTTTCGATTTATTTAAAAATTTTACATATAAGGTTAAGTTTAAGGTCAACTTAACATTCAAATAAATTACAACTGCAATAAAATGAAATGTAAAATAAAACATAAATAATAAAACCATATTTAATTATACGAACACTTAAAATATCGATTATAAAGATTCAAATATCATTTTGACGTTTTAAATGTCATGTTGACGTTTTTAAAAAAGTCAATTTAAAATGTCATTTTGACGTTTAATATAAATCAAAATGCCATATTTAACTTGTTTCTAAGTGAGAATGAGGCAATAATTATCTAATTTTTTTATTAAGGTATCAAAACGAACTGTTAACAAAATTCCTTGTAAAAAAACGTCTCTAAAGATTGAAATGTAATTTTGAAAATGTAATTTTTCTGTCAGTTACAAGATATACATACCGGGAATTTCATATAACTCGCAATATATGAATGCAATAACCATAATTACGAAACTACTATGCAGTTGTGCTGTCCCACATAAAATGCAGCATAGCTCAATAGTACGGGAATTGGGTAGTTTTGCAAAGGAAAAATTTTGCTTCGAAAAAGGTGACGTCCTTATGATAAGAACACTAGACTTAGAACTAGAAACATTCGGGTTTAGCCGCACGTCTCTCATGACGGCTGTCACTAGAACTAACATTAGACCTAGAACTAGAAACATTCAGACGTGTTGCATTTTATGTGGGACAAAGCAAGTAAATATGGCCTAGTTTCTATGGAAATATATTTTTGTATATTGCATTTTAAGCGAAATTCACTGCATAGAGAATATCATGTTGGTGTTTAACACAAATAAAAGTCATTTTACTTAAATTCATCTTTTCTTCATAACTTATTTTGCCATTTCTTAACGTTTCTCTTAAATAACTTATTTAATTTGTTTACAATAACATGTAATGATTAACTATACAACTATTGCTCTAATAAATCACGCAGGCAAAATATTACTAAACAGGAAAGGATGATGAGTACGGACTGCGACTGAATAGATTTAAAAACCACTTGATGATTATAGACCAGGCGGGTATAGTATCTTGACCATTGTATCTAATCCATGACATAGATGTTAAGGATAAGATGATCTATTTGGGCATGAAAATAACAAATAGGAGCGGCTCAGAACAAACAATAAAGAAAAGAATCGGAATGGCATGGAAGACTTTGGGCAAACTGGCTAAAATCTGGAAAGATCGCAGTATCCGCAAAGGAACTAAAACAAAATGATTGCAGCTTTTGAAATGATATGTTTCCGAAGAATATTGAGAACACCTTGGACTATCTATCACACTACTGCATTAATTCTAGAAAAACTACGCCGTATGCTTAAAATCTTCGGTCATGCAATGCTGAAGAACGGCATGGAAAAACTCATGATGATGGCAAAAGGTTAAGAGGCAGATCACTGGTGATATATATAGACCAAGCAAAGGATCTGGTGCAGATATTTACACACAGATACCATTTAATATAAATAATGATTAATATATATTCATTATAATTCATGCCATAAAGAATATTTTCAGGAGTCATAACTATTCCAGATCGGTTAATAACTATAATTGGTGGAAACCAAGCTGCTAACGATTGTAAACTAATACCTTCGTTGATGTTTAGGGAATAGATTTTGAAGTTGATAGTAAAGATATTTCTTGGACTCACAAGATGAGGAACTTACTCTTGACAAGCTGATTAGAAAGAACAACTAGTAAGAAAGAACTTATTACAAAGAAGGTAATATTGAATACAACCGAAAAAAGTGCCAACTAAAATTGGCCGAAGAATATAATTCCAAAGAAACTGGCATAACGATTTTAGAAGAAACAAGTTATAACGAAGAGGCCACAATGTCGGCAAAGTTTGTTATCAAGAAATTCTACGAGGGAAGAAAACGAACTATATCACCAAACTACATCTCCGATTTAACAAAATTGTCAAATTTGAATTGCTATCAATATCTAGTTTATTATTTTTTTGTTGTTTCATAAGATTCTATAAATATGTTTATAAATAGATGTGTTCACATTGTGTTGTAAGTTGTAATTACACTAATTTTTCCTCAAACCTGGCAATACTCGACTTATGTAATTTTCGATTTAAGTTATATATACCGGTCCCACTTATTACGTATCTTCGGAGTATTATTGTTTTTATATATTTTCTTGGGAAACATAACTGGTAAGTTGAATATTAGTCTATTTTTTATCAGGTCTTAAAAAGTGCCTAACTCAACCTAATTTAAAACTTTACCCTTACAACCTTAATCTTCCGAAACCTTTACACTCCTCCTTCCAAATTCTTATTGAACGAAGATTACATAAAAAGTTAATAATGATTGATATGTTTTGAATCTAATTTCCTTATTTACTGTTATTTTGTAATTTTATAAATAACCTGTCGAACTTGAGTCTAAAATCAATTACACTTCTATCTATAACAGTAACCTGGATGACTTTGAACCTGAATGACCACATAAAACAAATATTTTTTTTGCGTTTAATTTCTGTTTATTGTCTTTGTAATTTATTGGTGGTTATTTTATATTTAGCACACGCATCAGTATGCTATGTATTAATACTAGATGTAACGTAGTCTCATTGAATGTAACGTTATCACTTGTGTCAGATGTGTAAATATAAGTTAATCTCTAGGAAGGTGATCTAGGTTATTAAAGAAAATCAAATTAGTAATAATGGCTGGTTATCTTTTTAAAAGGACTCTCAAGTGCAAAACAAATATTAATTATCGAATTTAATAATTATGGTTCAAGTATTTCCTTGTTAGTTTTGGAGCCCGTTTTTAGGAACTTCCTTAGAATACGGTATACTAGTACAATGCATCCGTCGCGAAGTATTGATGATCAAGAATTAACTGATCAGAATTATTAGAAACAATAAATGAGTGCATCAAATACTCTGTAAGAAATGGAATTTGAATAGTTATTTGATAGTTATTATTCATATAAATATCGCAGCAAATTATGAAATGAGTCTAATCAATGAGTCAAATTGATATTTTAACTCAAAATAGCCATAAAGTGATTTGGGTTATTTCTGGAATCATTGATTCAAGTAATTTATTGGAAAACAATGGTAATGAAGTAATATTACAAATGGGAGTAATAAAAACTTCCAAACGTGCTTTCAAATCACCGTCAACCAGATAATCAGAATTCAAAAAATAAAGGAAAAAGAAGAAAGGAAAAGTTTGGATGATCAAAATATTTTTAATCGTATTACATAACTGCAAAATTAAATCTCTCATCAATAATGAAATAGATAGAAATCAAGTTCTATTATTATTCTTGGGAAATAACGAATAATAAGAATGAAAAAAGAATTAATTAAAATTAATGATATATTTCTGTAGGATTATTACGTGATTGAGTATCATTGAACCAGACTTTAATTAATAATTGCGTTTGTTTAACTGTATAATTACACTATTAACATTGTTTACCGCCATTTTTTACGTTTTTAATATTTGACTTTCACCATAACAAGTTATGTATATTTAATAACATAACAGTTGTTTACTGTAAACATGTAATTTCAGAACTTGTACACAAGTTTAGCATACCCAGTATAGCTGTTCTAAAAAAGGTTTATATAAAACAGCTTCAGTAACATAAACTAAGATTTCATCATTTATTTCGAAATTTAGAAGTTTGAGATTATCACACAACAGAATTCATAAAAAAATGTTATATAAAAATGTCGTCAAAAAATTTTCTAGAAGTCTATAATGTCAAAATGGCAAAATAAAGCGCAAAGCACTAGTAAATTGCGTGACTTATATTTTGCATCTCCACGATTATTACTAGTATTTGAAAATGATTCGTCATTTTGTAGTTACTTTTTATTAGTGGACACGTGTAACTAATTTAATGTCAAAAAAGACAAAAACAACTAAAACCACATAAAAACGAGCCATATTTCACGTTACCCGATATGCGTTATTTATAACTAACTTATGACAAATCCATATAGTTTATGTCATGTGCTGTTAATGTGTTAAGCGTCAAATATATTAAGCGAGGTATGTTAGTGACTGGATGCAGAGATGCATCTTCTAAAGACTATGGGGACGATATTTACTATTTCGAACACTTTTGCTCCTTTACCCAACTCAAACTCAAATATCTTAAACTGGTTTTCTAGCTTCAATTTTCAAAACATATACCATTAAGGCAAAATATATATAAATCATGACGTACTCTTGGTTGCTTTTCAAGATGTAAATAAATGCTTCTACAACATGGCAATACACTTAATATAGAAGTAAAATCGCTTTCCTTATTTATATTCAGGACTACTTAAAAGAGATAAAGGTTGTAATCGAATTGGATAAAATAAACTATGACGGTGACAAAAAATTTAAGTGTTTTCATTTATAATAAAAAACCAAGAAATAAAACAGACTTAATTGAGAAAAAATACGGAGATATTTTTAGTTTTTAAATTGACAAAACAAAACCCTAACCCAACAATAAAATTACCCATTTTTTGTATGCTAATTCAATCTCGAAAAAACAACAATTAAGAATCAACAAAAAATAAATAAATAAATAAATGCAAAATTACTTGTTTATAAATAAATATTATAACACAACTTTTGATTTTATGATGTAACAGATTGCTTTTTTTAATTAAAAAGTGTTAAGAGATTCAAAAATATTTAAATAAAAATTAAAAAAATTGATTAGAATAAAAAATAGTCATTACTTAAAGCAATAATTTGCAAAAAAATTTTTTAAATTACCTTGTTTTTGGACCTTTCTATTATTGTAATGGTAATTATTTTAAATGATAATTAAAGTCATTACACTAAAATATATAAAAAAAAATTGTACCTAATCATTGTAGTTTTCTAACCTTTGACTTCCTGAAATTAACCGGAAAATATGGAAATTGCAACAAAAATAACTGTCTCTTAAATCAAATGAACGATCAATAAATTAAAATTAAATAACATTTTTATCACATTTTTGCGTTTTTTTTTTATCTCATTAACTTAAATTAAGAAATAAAAATGATGAAATGAAAATAAAACTTACGATTGCCAAAAATTGTAACATCGACATTTCTTCATCCAATTTTTTGCTATTGTTATGACTAGATCCTTTTTTGTTGTTATTGTTGCTGCATTGATTTTTCTTCCACAATTTAAAAGCGGTTTTCGCCGAATCACTTTTCGTGTTTTGCGTAGTTTTTAGCAAATCCACGACGTCAATATCTTCATGAGGCTGGAATAACAAAATACAAAGAATACAATTATTTTCAACATTTTAAACAAAAAGGTCATTGTCAATTGTATTATTTTTTTTTTTCGCAGAAATCGCATAAAACAAAGAGAAGAGATTTAACAATACAACTCAATTAAAATTTGTTGGATGTGAAAGCGTTGTCGTGTTTAGTTATGCGTACAATTTAGAGTAATTATCGTGAATTTAGCGACCTCGTCCCACATAACCGATGATTACTGTTGTCACCATTGTTAATTTATAATTGTTATTAACAAATTCGGTTGATTTTAGGTGAAAAACATAAAGGAGCCTTTAAAGTTTTTTATTCATATTTAAGTGCCATTTAAAAAAGAAAAAAAGAATAATCGTTTAATGTAAAATGTTTCTAATTAGTAACCTCTTAATATTTAGGAAAATAACCTGACGTAAAAAACTCGAAAATTAATTAAAAAGGAAAAAAATTAAAAATATTCCATGTCCTGAATTCTTCCTCATTATTTTAAATTTAAATAACTTGTTTTAAATTACATCTGTTTTTGTATCTATCTATTTAAATTAATTTTTAATTTAAAAGTTTAAATCTAACTTTCAATTATAAAAAGAATAAGATGAAAACTTACAGATGATGTGGTACATTTAACACAAACTAATTCGGATATAAATCCAGTATAACTTTCTTTTCCTTTTGCGGCTACGTATTCCACAATTGCCGGCACCATAACCGATTGACTAACACACATATTACACGACCAAAACACTTGATTTAATTTCAAAAATGTCCAAAAGTAAATTATTATTAACAATTTGAAATTTTATTAATGTTCCCTTTTTTTTGAAGATTTTGGAAACTGCTTCTCGTTAGTTGGTTTCGAATCGACTACGAGTGTTTCGTATCGGTAGATGTGCTTTTGAGGAGCGACGTGCTCGCGTCAATGACACACACACGCGAGAAGTTCAGTTGCTAGAAGGAAAAGTGGGAAATAAAAGATTTACAAACCTTAAAAAATACTACGTACGTAAATTGGTAGTATATACGTATTTTGGAGAGAAGATGGTTTTTTTTTGATTGACGTTTTAGCAAAGATTAACACAAATTAAGTAATTTTAACGATATTTATGACAACATCAGTTGTTTATAATATTTTTTATTTTAATAGATTTAAATAGTTTGATTTTATATTTTTTTGAAAGATAAACAACTTTAAAAGCTTATTTTTTAAGTACATGATAGAGTTATTCAAACATAACATTGCTTCTATAATAAAAGACTTAAATCGATAAATTACTTTTAAGTTTTAAATTTCAAAAACTAAGTGCATAAAATAACGAATACTATCGAAATAACAATGGAAGAAAATAAATGCTGGTCCGCCGTATTTTTGGATGTTGCACAAGCTTTCGACAAAGTCTGTTGGCCAAGGAAGTGTGCTTGGCCCAATACTGTACTTACTCTACACCTTCGACCTTCCTCAGATACCACAAACTTTTACAGCTACATTCGCAGATGACACAGCGATTTTGGCTGTTGCAGAAAATGAAGTAGTTGCAGCAAATAAGTTACAATTGGTGTGAAATTCGATAGAAAACTGGACCAAACAATGGCTACTAAATTAAACACAAAAAAAAATCGACATACATAAACTTTACTTATAAGAAAGTATATGTCCCAGTACACAAATGGCAATGCAATTTGAATGCAATGGCTGGAGCCAGAAAGCTCACGTCAAGAAAAAACTTGAAGAACTTGAGATCAAATTTAGACACCTATATTGGCTTATTGGCAGAAAATCAACATTATCACTAAGAAACAAGTTGCTAATATACAAGCTAGTATTAAAATCAAATTGGACATACGGAATCCAACTGTAGGGTTGCACCTGCAAGACAAATGCAAGTCTGATTCAAAAAAAAATATGACAATATTTATTTATATTAACTGTAAAGCAAAATTTATAAGTAACGTTAAGTAACATTATTGGTCCACATTTTCCTTAAATAGTAAGTTTTCAAAGTTGATAACTTAGGACACTTTGACTAATTCATTTTCAATTCATCTTCAAAATTTTTCATACTTTTAACAAAAGTGAAATCGGCGATTTTTAAAATTTATATAAAATAAATTAGCTTTCCTAGAATGTTATAATTTGGTATAACCTAACCTCAAATATTCCTTAATAACGTAAAAAAGTTCATCACCTAATTCCTAACATGATAACTTAAAACCACAATTAACTGCTTTAATGAAATTTGGCCGGAAATGACACACTACACTAGTGTTTAAAAATAGTGTACTATTTTTTGAACCATTTTATTTTGTAATGTATGCTCAATCTCGAATTCTATATTTGCAATCGAAGACGGTCAAACGGCAATCAGGAAAAGTTAAAAATCGATTATTAATCGATTAACTTCTTTTAAAGTGAATGGACAAATATTGCGGAATCAAAATTGTATGAAGGTAGGTTTTCAAAAGCCTTGTTACTAATTTGACAGTTCTTTATAGCTTATGTCTCAACAAAATAGATTAATTAGAAAACCAACGAAAGGGTTTTTACCATTATACCAGTACAAATATTTTGTCTTTTGGCAAAATGGTTGCAACACTGACAACTTAAAAACTAAAAAAATATGACAAATTAAATCTTTTCTAACTTAACCATCCTTGTTATTCACAAAATTTCGATAACCACGATGATTCGTATTTTATAAAATAGAAAAACCGATAAAATTTTCCATATCACACATTTTCACGTTTAGATCCGCAATGGTTGATCATCTCATTAGACCTAAACTTAAATGGGGTTTTAATGATAATAGATTTTAACAGATGTCGCTACAAAATGCAACGTAGTTAGGCACGTAAATTATCTGTAAAGATTTGAATAACTAGATAGCATTAAGGAAAGGCTACGAATATTCGCAAATATGGTGGTCTTAAAACGTCATTTGCTTCTTAATTATTAGGAAAATAAACTCCAGCTTTCATACCATCGCATAGGAGATCGTTCAAGGAATCTGGTTGCTGTTGGAAGTCTATCTTTGACTATCCTTGCTAGACTTGAGGTTTCAATACTTTCATCAATACAACATGATGTCTCCATTTCCGTCCTCTTTTACGGGCACATCCTACAATATCCTGGATACCGCAAGTCTCTCTAATATCCTCATTACATTTATGCCCGTTATTCTGAGAATTGTGGTACCATTTTCTGCTCTTGTCCCTATCGTATATGTTACAACAGATCTTACAAAGGCCTTATTACTTGTTTTGCCGTATTAAGTCCCTCACGTAACCTAATATCAAGGCTTCTTCCGTTGTTATAGCTGTAACCATATACTTCTTCAAGGTTCCTGCTGCTCGTAACATTAATTCCAAGATATTTAAAACTCAATCATCTACTCTGTAGGCTTTTTGTATACTGTTAATTTGCAATTTGCTATTGTTAGAGATTTTATTTTTGACGTCGAGATTTTCATACTGCCTTTTGTTGCTGTTTTTGTCTTATGCCAGTTTGTATGGGTACTCTACTTTCTCTTTTCTTCTTCTTATCCAATTGGTGTTCAGCTCGTTGAGTAATGCGTATTTTCGTATGTTTTGCATCTCTTTTGATATCTCACCAACCCCAGCACATTTTCTATATTTTTATTTGGTGGTTATTTTATTTCTTCTGTGGATATGTGGTTGATGTATTGTTTCGGTAGTATGCTCTGGTCTCTTGCTAGTGTTCCTGTCACCAGTATAGAGTTTACAAAACTGTTCTTCCCACTCATTCAGTGCAATTTTTGTTTCTTAGCATATTCAAAATTTCTCTTTGTCCTTCATGGAAGTCATACCCCATATCTTTTGTTAATTTTTCAATGTTAGTATCATATTTAGACAAACAAATGAATTGTTTGCGAAATACACGTACTTTCTATAAATCGCTTACAAATTAGTTGTGAGATGAAAAGCAGCGGCTGAGAAACGAAACGAACCGCAAAAAAAATGTTTATTAAGTTAGAAGATTAAGTTAAACTCAAGAAGAAGAATCTTACGTTTATCGTTACTTATATCTACAAAATGTCAAAAGACTATTGCGCAAAAGATTTCGATAATTTTCAAGAAAACAACGTTTCGAACAACCACAGAAGATGTCTGCAATTTTTTTGTTATTGAATGTGGTTTTGAAATAGCATGTAGCAACAATTAATACGTCAATCTCCGAAAGGCGTGAAATCAATACGCAGAATTATTAATTATGTTAGATTTAACTCAAACTCTTTCTAACCTTCACGGTAACAAACTGGCAATTAGCAAATCATGGCTAAATAAATAACATCGAAACCTTTAAAAAATTAGTTGGAATCAATTATGTTATAGACTTTTTTGATAAATCAAGTTTATGCAAGAATATATTTAATAAGAACTGCTCAATTTAAGCAGATATTTATAAAGACAGTCATCAATTATTATCAGCTGGAATAGTAATGGTAAAGAATTACTTCAATTCCTATGATTTATTTAAGGATATATTAAAGCCTAAATCATCATGCACAAATTAAAGTAGTCATTTTAGTTCAATGGGATGTTACAATTGCTTTGGAGAAGGATATATTATGAGCCCCTATCCAAAACCAAAGACCAAAATCAGATTAAAGTTATTAAGTCAAGATTAACCAACCTCACAAGTACTTAGCAAAATACTGCAATATACTGGTTTAAAAAGTAAATTATATCTAAATTAAGGTATTGGAATTTGGGGCGCGATTCAGAGCTTTAAATCAAATCAAGATTTCATTGCGTTCTAAAAAATGAAATTCTTGCATCGAAAATTTGAATAATAATAACTAATACTATCTTAGAACCATTCAGAGATGTTTAAAGGCGACCTAAAACTATTCTATGTAGTCTAGAATGTTTAAATAGTTTAAAATTGGCTAGTTTTTCAATTTCATTTCAATTAAAACTTTCTAATAACTCTTGTTGAGTTCCCAGACTCTAATTAAATCTTAATTAAACT